GAGACACAGAGGCTGTGTCTGATTCATGTTCTCCCCACATCATCTAAATCACATTGCTATCTATTAAACCCATCCCATTTCCCAACTGTGAACACTTTACAATAGATTTTAGCAGCACTTTTTTGGTTGTGAGCCTCGCCTTTAACGGCTGATCCATCTCTCCGTTGGTGGCGCACGACTTTAGTTCCAGCACTTGGGAGGCAGAGGAAGGTGGATCTCTGTGAGTTTGAGGCCAGCCTGGTCTGCAGAGTGAGTTCCAGGACGGCCAGGACTATTTTACAGAGGAATCCTGTCTCCAAAGGAGACATGAAGTAATTCATAATTGCAGCTAGCATTTATTAAATATCTAGGCATAATGCTTTATATATCTACCCAAATACATTATAAAGTGTCTCGGACTCTCCTGACCCTGCTGTTTGATTAATTTTATAAGTGAGGAGCCTAGTTCTGAAAGAGGTAAATATTAGCCAACTGGCAAATATTACTGATAAAATTTAAATGCAGACCTGCCTACCTCCAAACCCCACATTCTATCTACTCTATCATACTGCCCCCAAACAAAATGTTAACCCTGTTCTCCCAGCGTTACCCTTGTCCCCCTTGTCCCCATTCTAATTATCTGTTATGCTACAGCAACCTTAGTGACCCGTAAAACTGCCGTCCTCAGCTTAAACATTCATTCTTCCCTCAAGTCAAACTCCTCTTTATAGCTAAGAGCTATACCTGTTATGTCTCTAGGCTTGTACCTCGCTCTCAGTTGCTGCACTCCAACTACACTCAAGACGTACACGCACGTCTGTAAAGTACTTTTTCCTCTCTGTCTGGAACCATCTTAGTTAGGGCTTCTGTAGCTGCGCTAAGACATCGTGACCTAAAGCAACGTGGGGAAGAAAGGGTTTATGTCAGCTTCAGCTCCACATCACAGTCTATCACTAAAGGAAGGCAGAGGTCACGGAGCAGTGCTGCTCACTGGCTTACTCTTCCTGGCTTGTTCAGCCTGCTTCCTTATAGCACCCAGGACCACCAGCTGAGGGGTGGCACTGCCCACATCCATCATCAATCAATAAAATGTACCACAAACTTGCCCAGACTGGTGGGGACATTTTCTCAACTGAGGTTCCCTCTCCCCAAACAACTCTAGCTTTTGTCAAGCTGACATAAAACTAGCTAGCACAATAACATATTCTCTTCCTGTGATAACTATTATCAGTTGTTAACTTGAGTATATCTGGAGTGAACTACAATCCAGAAATGGAGGGCACACCTGTGAGAGATATTTGCTTGGTTTGAAATGGGTGAATCCACTTTTAGTTTGGACCTTTGAGGTAGGAAGACACACCTTCGATCTGGATCTGAGGAGGGAAGATACACCTTTAATGTGGGCCACACCTTCTGCTGGAAGCCTGTATAAGGACATGGAAGAAGGAAGCTTCTGCTCGTTGCCTGCTTGCCCTTGCCTTGCTAGCACATCCATTCCTCCTCTGGCTTAGAGCCTCCTTCTTTGGGATTCCAGCATATGCTGAAGACAGCTGAGGCACCCAGTACTGGACCTTGGGCTTTCTGCTCACAGCCAGCCATTGTTGTATTAGCTGGACTGCAGCCTGTAAGTCACCCCCAATAAATCCCCTTTCTATATACATTCTGTTGCTCCAGAGGACCTTTTCAACCTTAAAACTCCCTCACTTCCTTTAGGTCTCTACTTAAATGCCACCTTCTTCTTTATATTATTTTTTATTTTATATGAATGAATTATTGCCTGAATGTATGCACCTGACTTCAGAGGTCAGAAGACAGTGTTAAATGCCCTGGAACTGGAGTTACAGATGGTTATAAGCTACTGTGTAGGTGCTGGGAATTAAACACAGGTTCTCTGCAAGAGCAGCAGATGCTCTTAACTGATGAGCTAACTCTCCAAGACCCAAATGCCACCACCTTAAATGATGACTATTTTAAATTGTTACATCGGTGCTCTCTATTCCCTCCTTATGCATTGTTCTTTTTCCTCCTAAAATATTTATCACCAGGCTAGAGACAATTTAGGCAGTTAAATGCCATACAGGCATGAGGGCATGAGTTTAATACTTAGAACCCACATAAAAAGTTGGGTATGATGTTGTATGGTAGTAATCCTAGCACTAGGGAGGTAGAGACAGGAGGATTCCTGAAGCTCACTGGCTCGTCAAGCTCCAGGTCCCAGTGAGAAACCTTGTCTCAAAAAAACAAAGTGGATGGCTCCCAAGGAATGACACCTGAGGTTGACCATGGCTTCCATACCTACGCTCACACATATACACATCCACACTGACACAAAATAAATAAATAAATAAATTTTATAATTTTATCCCCACTTGACATGTTGCTTTCTTATGGTTTATCTTCCATCACTAGAATGTACACTCCATGAGAGTAGTGACTTTTCATATCAATTCAATGTATCTGATATTCAGTAGGTATTAATACAAACTTGCTGAATAAGTGAGTAGAGAGCTTCATTTTTCCTAAGTGTTTACATAAAATGATCTTCAATGTATTTTCCAGAAAATAAATACAGAGGCAGCTTGCTTTTGTTCTAGTCTGGATCAAGGTAGTGAATCTTACTGCCTACAGACAAACCTTTTAAAGAACATTCAATTTTTTTATAGTTCTAATCAGATAGCCATGTCACTTAAATAAACTGAGCACACAAGCCAGTTTAACCACACTGTAGTATTGTAATCAAATAAAACTTACAGCAAAGTTAATCAGACATATCTTTAATGACATGCATAATTGTTATTGTGCTGCACGGTAACTAGGCATAAATGGTAGACATTTCATGTAAATGACACTAATTACTATTCCTGCTACACAGCCAAACCAAGCATGCCTAGGATCTGCTTCACAGAGAAACACAAAGGAGGGAGAAATCTTGGTACTTAGCTCTGAGGGGTAAGAACTCCTTCCTCTACTCCTCAGGAACTAGGCAAATGGTCTCTAGGCTCAGTTATGTGGCTTATTCCCATTCTCAAGATGGGAAACTTTCTCTCTGCAGTATGAGAAGCCTGCTATCCAAGATTTAGAAACTATTTTGAGAGGAATAAGAAACAACCACTAATTTCCATCTCTAACAAGGAAAATGTGACACAGGCAAGCTGACAGAAACTAAGAGATAGATGAAGGCCACACACACTGGTGTCTCCCATATTCCCTCACTTCCCCAGACTACCTAGATCCCCAAATTGTTCCCAAGAAAACACAGACTATGGGATGGTTCCAGTGAGGATTCCCTGCTCTAAAATCTCCTAAGAGGTCTAAAATGCCAGCTGTCACAGTCCAGGCTACCCCCAGCCTGTATAGGACAGGATCCCAATCCACTGCCCTTCTCCCCCCACCACACTCACTTGCAGGGATATTCACTTAGGTATAAACCACGCACTCTAAGCAGCTGTATTTACTTTCCTGAGTAAAAATTTACTTTTCCAGTAAGATCACAAACTCTTGGAAGCAGAAACCTTGTTTTAAAACTTCTCTAGTAACCCACATAAAGGATTAGCACCAATTTTTAAAAACGTGTTCCAGGGGCTGGAGATGGCTTGATGATGAATAGTGTTTGCTGAACAATCATGGAGGCAGAATTTGGATCCTAGTACCCATGTAACAAGCTGGACTTTCCACAAGTACCTGTAACCCCACCTCTGAGCAGAATGAAGACAGGAGGAGCAGTGGAGCTTGCTGAAGTCTAGTCTAGCTGAGAAAATGTGAGCCCCATGTTCAGAGAGAACCTGCCCCAAAGGAACAGGTGGGAGTACTAAGGACACCCAATGCCCTCCTCTAGCCTCTACACACATAGGATCCAGGAGTCACAATTAGGTCATCAGGTTTGGTGGCAGATGACCTTACCCACTGAGCCATTTCACCTGCTTGGGATCTCTTGAGATATGACATGGGTGGTAAGCAGAGAAATCTAGCAGAATTATTAGTCTACTCCAGTTATCTTTAGGGATGGGCGGGCACTCCTGAATCTTTAGGGTCATGGATGGCTGGGCTGCCAACTCATGTACCACCATTGTGGATGAGCCAAGTGGTCCTTTCTGGAAATTTTAACTTATAAAATACTTTACAAATACACAATTTCAGATTTCAATACATCTAAGGTATAAAAATCAAGTGGCACTAAGAAGGTTGCAACACTTCCAATTACCTAGGGCTTCTATTTCATTTGTATGCTGGGTCATGGAGAGCTGGCTATGCTGACACTAATTTACCTACAGGTTAAAAGCATATGTTAGAAAGGCAGAATCTGGATAGAAAAATCAAGGGATATGATTAACAAGAATATTTTCTTGGTTCACATCTCAGATATACTATATCAAAACTATGGCTTTGGTATACTTAGAAAGGTGACCGACAGTTTCAGCATTAAGGACAAACTTATAAATTAGGGACAGTTTTAACAGCTGTCTCTAAGTGGAATAACTATCAAAATAACCACGAGACATTTCTTTTAAATAAAAATGGACGATGCTAGAACTTAGGAGTCTCAATATTTAAATATATAAGCTGAAATGCAAGGTCTACTGCAGCGTATTAGCTTTCCAGCTATTCACAATGAAGAGAAAACGGAACATTAAGAGGAAAGCTTTTTCCCTTTCCCCTTTCCCCTTTCCTCAGGAACTTGGTACAAGGTATTATACCTACTAAGCACAAGGAATACGTATGAACTAGAAACTAATTATATAGAAACAACAGCAACTTTAAAGATAGAGCTATTTCTCCTGCACTGCATTATACAAGATTACAAAAATACTGTGCAAAAAAGTTAAGAGTTACCCTGTCAGCTGGGTATGGTGATGCACACCTTTAACCCTAGCATTAGAAGGCAGAGGCGGAAGGATCTCTATGAGTTCAAGGTCAGCCTGGTCTACACAATGAGTTCCAGGCCAGCCAAGGCTGCATAGTGAAACCCTGTAGCTACATGGTGAGTTGTTTTTTGTTTTGTTTTGTTTTGTTTTGTTTTTTACCTGTTTCCTGCTCCATCTGGCCATTGCAATACATGGCATGCTGTTCAATCTTTGTGGGAAGAAAGTCTTGGCCACACAGTGGGCAGGACACCCGGGCACTAGATGAGAATGCAGGAGTGGGATTTGCTTTCTTCCCATCTCTATTATCAACCTAAAGAGCATGGCAAACAACAATTGTAAGTAGGCAGCTTTAGTTTAAGTCTTTTTTTCCCCAAAGAACAAGACACATCCACATTTTATTCACTTTCAAAGAAACAACACCTATCAGTTTATACCAGATTCAAAGTCAAGGACTGGAAGCAAAGGCTTAAGTACTTAAAGCCTAAAGAAGTCATTAGTTAAGACAATCAATTTTACTAAAGCCTCGTAAGTCTTCTCTCTTGCTTCTATAGTTGCCAGTATGCATGTGGAAGTTTGGGAGTTGGTTCTCTCCTTCCACCTTGTTGAGGTAAGGTCTCTCTTGTTTCTACTATATACTCCAGGCAGGCTGGTTGTCCTAGTTAGGGTTTCTCTGACTGTGATGAAACACCATCACCAAAAGCAACCAGGGGCGGGGCGTTGGAGGAGCCAACATCTTTAATCCCAGCACTCGGGAGGCAGAGGCAGGGGGGATCTCTGTGAGTTGGAGGCCAGCCTGGTCTACAGAGTGAATGCCAGGATAGGTTCCAAAGCCACAGTGAAACCCTGTCTTGAAAAAACCAGCAACCAGGGAAGGAAAGGGTTTATTTCCACTTTTAATTCCATATTACAGTTCATCATCAAAGAACCTGGGGACAGGAGCCAATGCAGAGGCCATGGAGGAGGATGCTTACTGGCTTACTCATCATGACTTGTTTGGTCTTCTTTTTGTTTGTTTGTTGTTTTGGTTTTTTGAGACAGGGTTTCTCTGTGTAGCTTTGAGACCAGGTTGGCCTCGAACTCACCAAGATATGCCTGCCTCTGCCTCATAAGTGCTGGGATTAAAGGCGTGCAGCACCACCACCACCACCACCACCACCACCACCACCACCACCACCACCACCACCACCACCTTCAGTCTTCTTTCTTATAGAATCCAGGAACACCATCCTAAAAGGGCTGGGTCCTCCCACATCAATCACTAATTAAGAAAATGCCCTACAGGCTTGCCTATAGCCCATTTTCTGGAGGCTGTGTCAGCTGACATGAAACTAGACAGCTCTCAAGCTTCCAGGCAGTTCTCCTGGTTCTCCTGTCTCTACTCCCAATCTTGATTCAGGAGTACTAGAATTGTGGATGTGTATCATCCAGTCTTTAATATGAATTTCAGGAATCAAACTCAGGTCTTCAAGCTTGTACAGCAAGCACCTTTATCTGATGAGCCATTTTGCTGGCCCAAACTGATTATTCTGTAGGAAATCAAGAGCTTAAAGTGGGTCTGAAAGTTCTAGATGATACTATTCCAAGGTCACTGAGCTTCTTACAAACCTAGGTTCTACTGTTCACAGATGTTCTAAGAAAACACTATATTGTGCACAGTAAAGCTATTTGAGCAAAAGGAGGATACAGAATACACCTTAATTTGCAAGCAGTCTTGAGTTACTGAAAGTTAGTGGTTACTGAGAAGCTGCTTAGCATTCTAAAGTTCACTAAGCACAAAGATGTGATACAAAAGGAGTATCACCAGTGCTCACAGAAAAAAGAAATGTACTGGCCAGGCAGTGGCACACGCCTTTAATCCCAGCCTTTGGGAGTCAGAGGCAGGCAAACTCTTGTGAGTTATAGGACAGCCAAAGCTACGCAGAGAAACTCTGTCTGGGGGTTGGGGGGACACTATATTGTTTTATATTCATCCACTGTTCTATAAAATACAATGAATGTACCCATAACTATTAATGTATTTAAGAGGAAGGAATCTATTATCGTCTCATTGTAATTCTAACTACATCATACAAAACTCAGAAAATTTATGAAAATTCTTATCTTAAAAATAAAGATTTCAGGGACTGGAGAGATGACTCAGAGGTTAAGAGCACCGACTGCTCTTCCAAAGGTCCTGAGTTCAATTCCCAGCAACCACATGGTGGCTCACAACCATCCATTATGAGATCTGGTGTCCTCTTCTGGTGTGCAGATATACATGGAAGCAGAATGTTGTATACATAATAAATAAATAAATAAATAAAATATTTAATAAAAAAATAATAATAATAAAATAAAGATTTCAGCCGGGAGTTGGTGTCGCACGCCTTTAATCCCAGCACTTGGGAGGCAGAGGCAGGTGGAACTTTGTGAGTTTGAGGCCAGCCTGGTCTACAGTGCGAGTGCCAGGATACCGCTCCAAAGCTACACAAAGAAACCCTGTCTCGGAAAAAAAAAAAAAAATTAAAAATTTAAAAAAAAGATTTCCCGTCCCGTCCCATGCCCTCCCCCTCAATACCACTAAAGAGGTCTACTTAAGTATTTACTAGAAAGGAATTAAGGCAGAAAACATGAGTAAAGCAACTTTTACTAGGACCATGTAGCTGATAAGACTTGGTGTCTATAGGACTGTTTCTACTATTTTAAAATACCACACAGGCAAGATGGCTCAGTGGGTGTTTGACACCAACTTGAGTTCAACCCCTAGAACCTACATGGATAGAGAGAACCATCTCCTGCAAGTTGTTTTCTGACCTACACACACAACACACACACACACACACACACACACACACACACACACACTGTGTAGAATAAATAAGTAAAAAAACACTACACAAATAAGATATCAAAAGTGCTACTCAGATACAGAATTCATAATCCCTTATAGGTATGGCCAATCTTCGGCCCGCAGGTGTTGTGGAATATTACTTTAACTAGGCAAAGATGTGTTAAAGTCTGTTTATGATGTGGAATATTATGTAAAGGTGTGTTAAATTTGTTTCATTGTGCCTGCCTGACTGACTAGTCTAATAAAAAGCTGGATGGCTAATAGCTAGGCAGTAGAAGAACATGAGGGGCTGGCAGGCAGAGAGAATGAGGAGGAGGAATCTAGGCCCTAGAGAGAACAAGGGAGAAAGAGAAGGGGATACTCCAGGCTAGACAGACAGCCACCAGCCAGTCAGATAGGGAGTAGGACATACAGAAAGAAAGGTTAAAAAAAGCCCCGAGGCAAAATGTAGATTAAAAGAAACAAGTTACTATAAATTGTAAGAGCTACTGGGACAAGCATAAGATAAGGCAGAACATTCATAATAATAATTCTCCCTGTCATGATTTGGGAGTTGATTGGTTGCCCAAACCAAAGTCTGATACACTTAGACCACATCCCAGGAAAGCTGTGAATGTCACCTAATATATTTATAGATGACAATATGATGTCTCTATGACAAAATATTGGAAAACTCCTGTGGCATAAACTTCTGTCCTCAAAAGAAATGTCACCCTAACAAATAAGCCCATTGAAAATACATACCCTACAAATCACCGAGCCCTTCACCCTCCCTACCTGGATTATTAGTAGCTTAGAAAGCTGTTCACTTGGATCCTTCTTGCCATATGACCATTTTTTTGGTTTGGTTTTTTGAAACAGGACCTCCCTCCATACATAGCACTGGCTGTCCTGGAACTCACTGTGTTGATCACCTTGAACTCAGAGATCTGCCTGCCTCTTCCTCACAAATGCTAGGATTAAAGGTGTGTGCCACCACACCAGGCTCTATATGACTCTTAATTCACATAAAAACTTATGAAAGTTTGGCTTGGAACACTTCTCTTATCTCACCTGAGAACACAGTATCTATATGACATTGCACCTCAAGAAAATTCTCAAGCACAATATTGAGAAAACATTATTCTACCATTTCCAAAGAAAACTTGGCTTAGCCTGGCTTGTTGGTGCACACCTTTAATCCCAACACTCAAGAGGCAGAGGCAGGTGGATCTCTGGGAGTTTGAGGACAGCCTGGTCTACAGAGTGAGTTTCAAGACGGCCAGGGCTGTTACACAGAGAAACCCTGCCAAAACAAAAACAAAAATAAAGGAAGGAAGGAAGGAAGGAAGTAAGGAAGGAAGGAAGGAAGGAAGGAAGGAAGCCGGACTACTGTAAGCAATCAAATCAAGAGAGACTGCAAGGTCGCTGTGCATAAGTCAGTGCTACCAAGCAGTCAAGCAGTTACCCCCATTAACAACTAATAGCACTGAATAGTTACAAAATTTTCAAAGCAGATAAACTTTCTATATGCATACCTCTACTTGTGCCAGATCAGCTAAATGTTTTATACACTCTATCAAATTTAATATTCTAAGAAACCCAGTCTTTAAAAATGTATTTGGGGAGCGGGATGGGGTGATACCCGCCTTTAATCCCAGCACTCAGGGCACAGAAGGTGGATCTCTGAGCTCACGGCCAGTCTGGTCTACAGAGCCAGTTCCAGGACAGCTGGAGGTACACAGAGAAAACCTGTCTCGAAATCCCCAGCAAAAAGTTGGGCATGGTGGCACATGATTGTAATCTCAGCACTGGGGAGGCAGAGACAAGCAAGGATCTAACTAAGGCTCAGTAACCAGCCAGCCAGCCTATTGGAATTGATAAATTCTAGGCCTATGAAAGAACATAAAACAAGGTATGTACATGGCTTTACTGCCTCCCAGGACTCAGGAGGTAGACGCAGTGGATCCCAAGAAACCTCCAAGATTACTTAGAGGCATACAGAGACATAATCAACAGCAACGTTGTTTGGTGCAGCAGTGCAGAACGCACACTATAAACTCTAAATAGGGTTTGTGTTCTTTGGCCCTGAGAGCCGCATCGTCTGTAGTGATGGATAGATGCATGCTCTCTGCACGTTAGGATGACCAGAAACTAATACTCTGTTCCCTGATTCCCATTTAGAAGCTTCAATATCTTCTCTAGGGAGAAAAAACAAAAACAAACAGAGGCTATTTTGTTATTATCTAGCAGGATCTATCCTTAGTAGATCTGCTACAGAGGCTAATTCTTCATGCACTGGCATGAGGAAATCCCAGCCTGTCACTGTGACACATCAGGTTCCAAGAGCCCAGTGCATGATTCATGAAAGCAGAGTTTCCAGCCAATTACCTGCAGTGCAGAGACTAGGAAAGGATCTAACATCTACTGTGAAAACTGTTTCCAAAACCCCTTTACACTATAAAAAGGAGTGAGAAAATTAAGTCTCTTTAAAGTGGTCAAGACCATAAACATAAATATAAGCAATTTTTTTATTTCTATAAAAATTTATTCAATCTCCAAACTGCTTTTTACAGCAACAGAATTCCGGGAAATTACTTAGTTAAATCCAAAATGAAAAACATATACAGTACAGGAGCCTGAGAGATGCTCAATGGTAAAGTGCTTTCTACTCAAGCATGAGGACCTGAGTTGGGACCCTGAGCAATCATAGAAAAGCCAGTTGTGCACCCTGTAACTCCTGTACTGGGGGACAGGGAGGGGAAACAGAGATGCAGGAAGCAGAGATTAGGAGAACCCAGGGGCTTCCTGGCCAGCCAGATTAACCAAATGGTGAGCTCCAGATTCAGTGAGAGACCCTATCTCAAAAAGTAAGGTGGGGACTGACTCAGCCTCCATATGAGCACACACAGATGAGTGTACTCAAAAGAAAATATACTCTAAGAATCTTTTTTTTTTTTTCCCTGAGACACAGTTTGTGTGTAGCCCTGATTGTCCTGAAACTCTCTCTGTAGACCAGGCTAGCCTCAAACTCAGAGATCCACCTGCCTCTACCTCTCTAGTGCTAGGATTAAAGGGTTGTGCCACCATGCCTGGGTTACTCTAAGAATCTCAACTTTATGGCTATGGCCAGGGACGGTTAATGATGCAAACAGAGACGCTTGTTATTTTTCTTCCCTTTGTATTCCTGATAACATTTATAAATTTAAGTTGAACAATATACTTATACAGTGATTACCCCCACATTGTTTAATTTTTTCAGCTTCTCTGTATGTAACAGAAAATGTCTATAGATTTAGAGACAGATCTAGTTCAGGTTCTAGTTCTATAATTAACAGCAACATCAACTAGTGCAAATCATATAAACATTTTGAATTTTTCTTTTCCTATCTCTAACAGAAATAGTAAAAGCACTCAAGAAATGGTAAGTGGCTGTGTGTGGTGGTGCACACCTTTAATCCCAGCACTCGGGAGGCAGAGGCAGGTGGATCTCTGTGAGTTCGAGACCAGCCTGGTCTACAAGAGCTAGTTGTTCCAGGACAGCCTCCAAAACCACAAAGAAATCCTGTCTCAAAAAAACAAAACAAAACAAAAAAATCAAAATAAACAAACAAAAAATAGTGATATTTTTATAAACAGTACTGAAATGGTATTTTTTATTGTTGTTGTTTTGTTTTTGAAGACAGGGTTTCTCTGTAGCTTTGGAGCCTATCCTGGCACTCGCTCTGGAGACCAAGCTGGCCTCAAACTCACAGAGATCCACCTGCCTCTGCCTCCAGAGTGCTCAGATTAAAGGTGTGTGCCACCACCACCTGGCCTGAAATGATAATTTTAACTATAAAAATTTCTCTCTTATATAAGTGCTCCCAAAACTAAACTCTATATCACCAGAATCTTTCAGGCCGAGGTGAACCCTGTGTCACACAGAAGACAAACAGCATAAACAAATGAGTGAGAAAACCACAGAGAATGAAGAGTGCTCACCCGCTTATCGCTCACTGTCATTCTGACTCCAATGGGGATGTTGCTGCTATCCGGAGAGTCTTCTCTATTGACGTCAAGGAGCTCAGGGGAACTTAATTGTGTTTCTGTAATTTAAAGAAAGTAAATACCGTTAATTCTCATTTCTTTAACGTTTAGGGTATGATAACCCTAAACTGACAATATCGACCCAATCCGTTTCTTCTTCAAGCTTTATTATGACTAATTTACACACAACAGAACTCACCAATCTTTCAGGTTGTAATTTGGTGGGTTTTGACTAATACATACCATGTAACTACCACAACACAGAAAATGTTTCCAGCATCCCATTAAAATCATCCTGCACCCCTCTGAAGTCCTAACATTTTGCCTTTCCTAGAATATCACCTAAATGGAATCAGCCAGATGTGGTGGCACACACCTGTAATCCTTGCTATTCAGGAGGCTGAACAGCATCCAAGTTCAAACATGAGACAAAATAGTGAGACCGTCTTCTTAAAAGGTTAAAAAACCTCACAGTGTAAGCCTTTGGTGTTGTCTTTACTTAGTGTCATGTGACTGAGGCAGCCATGTTGTCAGACATCAATGGCACATCCCTGTTTTCTGGTAAGTAGTACTCTACTAAATGAATACACCACAGTTTGTTTATCTATTTACCAGTTAATCCATTTGGCTTATTTCACTGTAGTCCTAGTATCAACAGCTACTGATTTCAACAGAAACCAAAAGGTGCCTATATTGGCTCTAAGGTTAAAGGATGAATAGGGAAAACAGAAAGTAGGACAAAAAAATAAGATAATGTACTCTAGGACTGGAGAGATGGCTCAGAGGTTAAGTAAGAGCACTGGCTGCTCTTTCAGAGGACCCGAGTTCAATTTCCAGCAACCACATGGTGGCTCACAACCATCTATAATGAGATCTGGTGCCCTCTTCTGGCGAGCAGACATATATGGAGGCAGAACACTGAACACATAACAAATAAGTCTTTAAAAAGGAAGAAAAGAATATTCTATACAAAGATATGCCATCCTTTAATATGTTTTTTAAGCATTACCTATTAGTTCAACAAATACTGATGGAATAACAAGTCCCAGCCATTGTACTACCTACTACTAACACAGAGATATAGTGTAAATCAGGAGCAGAAAACTATAGATAACTTGTGGGCCCAATGTGGCCAGCAGCCTGGTTTTGGAAATAAGGCCTTACTGGAACACAGCCATATTCATTCTGCTGCATACTGTCTATGGCTGCTTTTGCAGTGAAAAAGAGATGAATAGCTTTAACAAAATATCTAAAGAGCCTAAAATATTTACTAGTCTTATGATGGAGGAAGTCTTCTGTACATATGTTTCTCTTATTGGTTGATGAATAAAACTCTGTTGGCCAATAGGGAAGTAAAATAGAAATAGGTGGGACCAGGAGACTAGGAGGATTCTGGGTAGTGTAGTAAGAGGAGTCACCATGTGATCGCCGGAGGACAGGACATATGAGTCTGGCATTCTCTCTGGGTAAGATAAGACCTTGTAGAACTACATATATTAGTGGTTATGGGTTAATATTTAAGACAGAACTAGCCAATAAGAAGCCCTAGACATTGACCAACAGCATTATAAATAATATAGTGTCTTGTGTGTTATTTGGGGGCTCTGAGGAGGCTGCAGAACCAGGTAGGAACCCCATAACAATCTTAAAAGAAGTTGGGGTGGGGTGGGGTGGAGTGAATTAATATAAAGATTTTTTTGAAGTTGGCTAACTAGAAATTCTAGACATCTATCAATATAACAAAAGAACGGCAACTGTATTTCAAATGACCACAAATCTGGTAAAGAAATGTAAACTCAATGCCTATGTCCCATTCAAACTTTATGATGACACTGCAATTCCAGTGATGGTGAGAGGAAGTGGGAGGCCTTTGGGAAGTCATGAGGTCATAGGAGTGGAGAAATAAAAAGGGTGGGATCAGAAGCCTAGAGAGGGCTCTCACTCTCTGTCTCCCATGTAGGGACATAGTAAGAGGGTACATCCATGAGTCAGGAAGTGGGTTGTATGAGACACTGATATGTCTGTGCTCTGATCTTGGACTCTCCAGCCTGCAAAACTGAGAAACAAACGTCTGTTGTTTATAAGCCACAGTAAAGTGTTTCTTTTTCTTTTTAAAAATGTTTTTAAGATTATATCCTTCTTTTATATTTGTCTGCATGTATGTCTGGGCACCACATGCGTGCTTGCTAGCCACGGAGGGCGGAAGAGAGAACTGGATCCCCTAGAAGTGTTGTTACAGATGATTGTCAGCCATGTGGGTGTTTAAGGGGTGAACCCAGGTCCTTTAGAAGAGCAGTCGGTGCTTTTAACTTCTGAGCCATCTCTCCAATTATAACCATAACTAAGATTTAAAAAAAAAAAACCATCTCAGAAGGTAAACCTTGTTAAGTTCTCACCTGACACCACACCTAACACACTCCTGCTTCACACATACAATGAACAGTCAACATTGGGCAAATAAACAATCTGTAAGATTCTAAACTATCTTCAGAATTGTTAAGGGGTTAAATACACTTACAGTATTAACTATATTTGAAAACTGGACACACACACACACACATACACACTTTATCTATTTTGGTGGTAAAAGGCTCACAATTTTTTGTTTGTTTGTTTGTTTGTTTTGTTTTTCGAGACAGGGTTTCTCTGTGGCTTTGGAGGCTGTCCTGGAACTAGCTCTTGTAGACCAGGCTGGTCTTGAACTCACAGAGATCCACCTGCCTCTGCCTCCTGAGTGCTGGGATTAAAGGCGTGTGCCACTAACTAAGAATTACTCCACATAGACTGATGCAGTAATAAAAAGGATGAACAGATGAATGGTCTAACTATGAAAATACTTAAGAGAGCCTTGGTGCCTCAGAAACAAGCAATGCTGGTACCATCCTGTGAGTTAGCCTTGATTGCCAACTTGACTGATTTAAGAGACCTAGAAGACTTGTAAAGTACAAATGGGCGTGTCTGTGACAGCGGTTCCTGATACAGTTAGATCCTGGGGCTCTAACCCAGTGGTTGGAGTCATCTCTTGGGGATTCACAATGATAGTAAAAGGGAAGAGGTGAGGCCTAGTTCAAGAACATTGGCCACTGATAATTACATCCTTAGGGCAGTATCTTACTCAAGTTTTTCTGTTATTTCTCTTTTTAGTGGTTCTTTTTTTTTTAAGATTTATTTATTTATTATGTGCACAGTGTTCTGGCATGTAAGTGGTTGTGAGCCACCATGTGGCTGCTGGGAATTGAACTCAGGACCTCTGGAAGAGCAGCCAGTGCTCTTAACCTCTGAGCCATCTCTCCAGCTCAGCCCTTCAGTGGTTCTTATACACCATGAGGTAAAGAAACTTCTCTGCCTCACATTCCCACCATGTTGACATTCTGCTCAGGAGCATGGAGAGAAGCAACTACTGACTAAACTCCCTGAAACCATGAGTCAAGATTGGGCTCAGTGGTTAAGAGCACTGGTGGCCTTCCAGAGAACCTGGATTTAACTCCCACGCAGTGGCTCACAATTATCTGTAACAACAGTTCAGGAAACTCGGTGCCCTCTTCTGGCCTCCATGGGAACTGCATGCACATGGTGTATATACTCTATACAAAACCGAATAGTGCTAGCTAATCAGAGAGTGGAAAAATAAGCCCTTCCTAACTGAAGTTAGGTAGCTTTTATGATCATGACTTCCTATCATTAGTTTACAGGTTAAATCCAACTGTTTGGTGACATAAACCACTTCCATGTGGGTGCTGGGATTCAAACCTGGGTTCTCTAAAAGAGTAGACAGTACTCTTAACTGCTTAACCATGTCTCCAGCCCCTAGGACTTTGTTTTTTTAAATTAGTATATACACGGCTTTTATTATCACATTTCATATGCACTTGTTTTTATGACCCTCCTCCCTCCTCGTGCTCCCCCTCCTCCTCCCTCCCCGTGCTCCCCATTCACTACTCATACCCCTCCTTCCCCAGGTAGTCCTCTTTGCATTTTCATATCACGTATATTCTGCTACCTTATTTTTCCTTAGGAAATCCTTTTATTCTTCCATGGCCCCCTTTCTAGTTTTATGACCTATTCCACATCCCCTTACACACATGTAAAAGTCTATTAACTAAGGTTTTGACAATCATTGTATTTGCAGGTTCTTTCTGAAAGATGCCACAATGACATCATACGTCATCATCTCAAACAGGTAGGTTGAGTGACTTCCCAGGATGGCAAAATTCATCAGTTCCAGGCAGAGAAGAGGATAAAGTTTTCTTCTCACAAAGCCACCACATTCTTTTTTTCTTTAATTTGTTTTGGTTTTTTTGTTTTGTTTTGTTTTTTGAGACAGGGTTTCTCTGTGTAACAGTCCTGGTTGTCCTGGAACACTGGATTTGTAGACTAGGGTGGCCTTGAACTCACTGAGATCTGCCCCGCTCTGCCTGCAGAGTGCTGGGACTAACAGCGTGCGCCACCACCACCAGGTGGCAGCAACACATTCTTGAGGGCCCTTGCCAAAACCAGAGCATGCTGGTAATGGAGTCTCTTAGGTTATCATGAGACAGTGATCCAAATATATTTCAAATGTAATAAGAAACCACTTCCATTAAAAACCAACATTACTCACATTCTTAAAACAATAAAATCCTTTTCACAGGCTGCCAAGTGTCTTAAAATATTTATAGGATTTTTCCTAGAGTACATGTTACCTAAGTTTTAGTCTTTGTGGTAAAAAATTGAGAGAAATTAAAATAAGAAAACTATGAATACTCTGACAGGCTATATGTGTTCTAAAGGAAACCCAAATAAGACTTTGAGTAACATCTGTACACTACTTGTTTTCCAGTGAGTTTAATATTAATAGGTAGTTCCTTAATATCACATGAATGAGATTCCTGAGTAATACAATGGGCTCTACTTTTAAGAAAAATGAAGGCTAAAACAAATTCTTTAGAAAGTACAAGTGGCTCATTTATCAAAATAATTATCCATATTATACAATGACTCATCAAAGAGTTCCCTTAGACATGGCTATCTTAGTTCATCTTAAATCCTTTTATATATCTACAATAGTATGTCTTATGCCTAAGCAAGGAATATGTCTCCTACTTTAGATAATTTTAAACTAAAGCATTTAACCAGATCTTGTCTATGATTAAAACTATGCCAGCCACAAAACTACACAAAAATTCAGTCCCTAAACTCATAAAACCTCAAAGAACAGCAGTTTCAAAACTAAGTACTAAAGGGCTTTGCTTAACAAAGAAGGTAACCTGAAAACAGCATAACTTTGAGAACACATAAAAATCAAACATTTAAGTCCCCTTGGCTCTGAATTCACTGTTAAATATTATTTTTGATACGTTGTTGCTTCTTCTGATCATGTAGGCAAGCAAGCAGACAAAAGAGCCAGTTAATTTCAAAACCAAATTACCCCTAAGCAGAAAATAAGTTTGATAATCAGAACCTGTGTCCACTAGAAACAAGTATGTGAGCATGTATACACATACTAGTGATAAGCACATACACACATAAATCACACATAACCCTTCTGCGAATGGTTTAAATAGTCAAAAATTTTAATAAGACTGAAAAGATAGATAAGTAATATCAGAAATTCAGTAAAGTCACGATGTGCTTACCAGGACAAACAGTGATTTCTTCTGCAGAACTCTCTGGCATAAGGACTAAGCTTCTCTTACTGGTCAAAGCGGCAATGCTGAAAACAGAATCAAATGGAAATGAACTCCTCATGAAATAAAGCGGAGCACAGGTCCACAAGCAACGATGAGTCGTTTACAAAGCCATAAGTAAACTGATAGATCCTGTACAAAGTCACAACCAGAAAGCAAGGACTCTGCAGTACAAGTGAGCCAGAAATGGGGAAAATAAGCATGCTTACAAGTTCAGTTCCAGTGAAATCACTGAATGAAAAGAAACTCCCTTTTCTAGTCTTCACAAACCTTCTAGAAGGTTTAGAGGGTAAGAAAGAACTACCAGTGACTATCAGAGAAGACAAAAATTGTACTATAGTATTAAATGTCAAAGGTGTTTTGCATCCTTGTAAGGACTCAGGCATGCTGGCCTGCCCCTGTCACCAGGCAGAACGCACTAAGGCAGTTCCCTGGTCAGCCCAGGTGCAAAGGACCCCTTTAAAAAGAAAGACCTCCACCTACTTACACTCTCTTTCCCTCTCTTTCCTCTCTTCTTCTCCCCCCTCCTCTTCCCCTGGGGCACAGGTCTCTTCCTGGCTCCCTCTTCTGTCCTCTACTCTGTGTCTCTTCACCTCTTTTCTCTTGCCCTCTCCACTTCCTTTTCTAATAAAACTTCTCCCTTAAGCTCTGTCTGCCTGCCATGTTTGTCTCCTCCCCCCTCCCCCCCCTCCCGCCTTGGTCACCCTCACCTGCCATAGAATCCACTGAGGTTCTCCTCTCGATTTATCATAACAATCCTGGCTACCAGTTACAGCCTTCTGAAGGCAAGAGACATATAAACTCAGAAAAAGAGAACTTCTCCTGACAGCACAGTAGTTTTTCCTCACCTTATAGTTAAAAGTTTCTCCATATTTCAAAACACAGCTTTCCAAGCAACAAAAATAAAATAAAATCCCAAAGTGTCCTACAGCAAAATCTGCCCACACAAGTTGAATATCTTTTCTGGGAAAACTTTAATTATGAATGGATTCCCTTATCCAGCCTTCTGGTTTTTCCTGTTTGTTCATGAGTGTGATCTCTTCCTGACATCAAAACACATGGCTGAGAGATCTGAGCATCTGAAATAGTCCCCTCATGCTTCACACAATTTTATGATTAGTTTGATCAAGTATGCAAGAAGACACTTAAAAACACAAATCCTCACATCAACCAAGAGCCACAGAGAAGAGAGAATAGCCACCACTAAGACTCATGATAAATAACTAAATCATGACAGGAAACCACAAGTGATTTCTCTCTCTAAATAAAACATTTCAGAGCATTTGTTATAAACCCAAGCCAGACACAATTTACTCTGCATGTAACATTAGGGCTCTATTCAAAAAGTCCATCACAAGACAATTTGTTGACATTTATAAAATGGGCTAATCAATTTGAAGTCAAACCACATTGTATGTGATTTCAACTCTTTCCTAGTGACAAAGCATATAATCATTTATTAAAACCTACATCTGCTTTGCACAGGCTCACCACAATAAACAGAGAGGCCTACAGGCAGCAGAAGACTAACTCCAGACCAGGCTGGCCTCAAACTCACAGAGATCCACCTGTATCTGCCTCCCAAGTGCTGGGATTAAAGGCGTACGCCACCAACGCCCAATCCAAAAGTGTCTTAACAGCAGGAGAATCAAACCATATTCTTCAGCTTGGGGATAAATACCTAGTACTAACCACCACTTTTTTTTTTTTTTTTTTTTTTTTTTTTTTTTTTTTTTTTTTTGTT